TGTGGACGATGTGAGCTGTGGACGATGTGAGCTGTGAACGCTGCTCGTATCTGATCTAATAAGCTGTCACAGCCACAGCACTACTAACGCAGGTTTCAGACCCACAACAGCATCTGTGAACCTCCTCAGCTGAACCATCATCATTTTAACTAACCTAGCAAAACATCCATCACCCACCTTGATCCAAATCTTCCCATCTTGTCATGACCTTCGTCGCTAATGTCGCAGCATTTCTTACCTAATGGCAAGTTCATGTATTAATACCTAGAGGTTACACTCATTATACTCACCCACTTATCCATGTATTCCGGAAAACATGCTGACACTCCGGATATCAGATCAGAAGTGGCGGCACCTCACCACACAGCACCACCTTCCTGAAATCCTCCGTCCAATGCCGCAAAGAACTCACCCAGATGTGGGTATAACTTTCATATTTCCCAACATCCCATTACTATTTCAGGTCAGGTTGTTGGCGCTTCTTCAGCCCTCCTCTTCTGGTTACCTATAATGACCATCTGGCTTGCCTTAAAAGTTTAGCCAGACGAACCCCTGTAGAAAAAAATACCTGAATTCTAACCATAATGGCAGGAAGCATAGAGGAATTATCAAAGTCTTGTGTTTTTTGAAGCACCACTGCTATCTGACACCAAGTAGTGATGCAGAAGTAGAAAATATGAATTTGAAATAATTTCCATTGTGATATACAACCAGCATCCGGAGCTCTGGACTTTTTCACAAATTGAGTTTTCAAAGCTCTACTTGGCTCCTTTGTGGAAACACGGCTGTTGTTTACAGAACTCAGCAGCTCAAGCTCACATCTGCACACATGAGGGAACCAGAAAGGTGAATCCCCTCTTCTCTTCACATAGCTCCATCTGACTTTTCTATAAGAGACAGAAAGTGTTTAAAATGAAAACACCTGTACTAAAATATCTTTATAAAATCCATGGAGGTGTCTATTGCTACTTTTATATAAATAATCTGTGTAATTAAGGCTTCCATAGAGTGAAGTCATATTTACAGGTACAGCGCCATCTACAGAGTTTTACTATTGTCGCTGGACTCCTCAAGGGAAATGGTTGTATTATGCCACCATTCCTGTTTGGAGGCTTGGGGTCACACTTACTTCATTGAGTGCAGTAAAACGATTCTCCACTCAGAGAAGACAAACCTGTATTCAGTTATTGATGTTTATATTTCCTGTGTATTCAATGAACAAAGAACTAATTGTTTGAACTGCAGGCTGTCCCAAGACATACAATTCTGATGTTAAACTCAATGTGTAGAGTTCTTGATTTTGTCTTTATCTGTTGTCAATATCCTGTAACTTCTATAATAATTAATTTTTTTTTTTTTTAGGGATCCACCTTAATTCTTGAATATTGGATTGAAGCATTCTGATAACAAAGTACTGCTAAGTTGGCGTTCTTTAGCACATGATGAATCCAGGGGAGACAAGTTATATGAGTTCTCAGAGTGTGAGCAAAGTTTAATTCCAAAGTCATTTCTAACAGTTCACCAGAAGATTCACGATGAAGAGAAACCATTTGACAATTCACATTTTACTCAACACCAGAGGAGTCACACAGGAGAGAAGATATTTGAGTGCTCAGAATGTGACAAGTGTTTCACAAAAAAGAATAAACTTACTAGACATCAGAAGATTCACACTGGAGAGAAACCATTTAAATGTTCAGAATGTGACAAGTGCTTCTCACTTAAACATCATCTTACTCAACACCAGAGGACTCACACTGGAGAGAAGCCATTCAAATGCTCAGAATGTGACAAGTGCTACGCAAGAAAGAGCCAGCTTACTGAACACCAGAAGATACACACTGGAGAGAAGCCATTTCAATGTTCAGAATGTGACAAGTGCTACGCAAGAAAGAGACAGCTTACTGAACACCAGAAGATACACACTGGAGAGAAGCCATTTCAATGTTCAGAATGTGACAAGTGCTTCACAGAAAAGGGAAGTCTTGCTACTCACCAGTGGACTCACACGGGAAGGAAACAATTTAAATGCTCAGAATGTGACAAGTGCTACGCAAGAAAGAGACAGCTTACTGAACACCAGAAGATACACACTGGAGAGAAGCCATTTCAATGTTCAGAATGTGACAAGTGCTACGCAAGAAAGAGACAGCTTACTGAACACCAGAAGATACACACTGGAGAGAAGCCATTTCAATGTTCAGAATGTGACAAGTGCTACGCAAGAAAGAGACAGCTTACTGAACACCAGAGGACTCACACTGGAGAGAAGCCATTCAAATGTTCAGAATGTGACAAGTGCTACGCAAGAAAGAGACAGCTTACTGAACACCAGAAGATACACACTGGAGAGAAGCCATTTCAATGTTCAGAATGTGAAATGTGCTTCACAGAAAAGGGAAGTCTTGCTACTCACCAGTGGACTCACACGGGAAGGAAACAATTTAAATGCTCAGAATGTGACAAGTGCTACGCAAGACAGAGACAGCTTACTGAACACCAGAAGATACACACTGGAGAGAAGCCATTTCAATGTTCAGAATGTAACAAATGCTTCTCACTTAGGCATCATCTTACTCAACACCAGAGGACTCACACTGGAGAGAAGCCATTTCAATGTTCAGAATGTGACATGTGCTTCACACAAAAGGGAAGTCTTGCTACTCACCAGTGGACTCACACTGGAAGGAAACAATTTAAATGTTCAGAATGTGACAAGTGCTTCACAGGAAAGCAAAGTCTTACTGAACACCTGAAAATTCACACTGGAGAGAAGGCATATGAGTGCTCCGAATGTGACAAGTGTTTCACAAAAAAGACAACACTTATTCGACACAAAAAGATTCACACTGGAGAAAAGCCATATACATGTTCAGAATGTGACAAGTGCTTCACACAAAAGGGAAGTCTTGCTACTCACCAGTGGACTCACACTGGAAGGAAACAATTTAAATGTTCAGAATGTGACAAGTGCTTCACAGGAAAGCAAAGTCTTACTGAACACCTGAAAATTCACACTGGAGAGAAGGCATATGAGTGCTCCGAATGTGACAAGTGTTTCACAAAAAAGACAACACTTATTCGACACAAAAAGATTCACACTGGAGAAAAGCCATATACATGTTCAGAATGTGACAAGTGCTTCACACAAAAGGGAAATCTTACTGGTCACCAGAGGGCTCATACTGGAGAGAAACCATTTAAATGTTCAGAATGTGGAAAGTGCTTCACATGGAAGGAAAGTCTTATTAATCATCTGAGGATCCACACAGGAGAGAAACCATACAGGTGTTCAGAATGTGACAAATGTTTCACCACCAAATCTGATCTTAGGGTTCACTGGAGGACTCACACTGGAGAGAAACCATTTCAATGTTCAGAATGTGACAAGTGCTTCTTACTTAGTCATCATCTTACTCAACACCAGAGGACTCACACTGGAGAGAAACCATTTCAATGTTTAGAATGTGACAAGAGCTTCAGACAAACAAATAGTCTTATTCGGCACCAGAAGATCCACAATAGAGAAAAAGCTGTTTCAATGCTTTGAATACGAGAAACAAAACAAAAAAGTGAGTTGATCGGAAAGGCGTCAGCTCAAAGTGCAGTTAATGAAGAGGGTCGAAGAGTCAAAGGATAGTACAAAGTTGTAAATGTATTGTTTAAAAAAAAACTCATTGGACATACTATGTGCACCAGTTGAACCACCACCAATATTCATCTAAAAAATGGTTATTGCAACAACCCATTCACTCATGAGACACAAACATACACTCTAAGGACGAGCTGATCAGCGTAATATATGAAGCCGGATTATTCTCAAAGATATTTGAGGGAACAGCGCTTAGACAGTAATTGTAAATTCAATATGATTCAGCGAATTTGTCTCTTTAACCTGGAGACCTTATTCAGTTATATTTAAATCTTTCCAAGAGATCGCGAGGGGTTGTGTTCAATGAGACTGGTGATATTGTCAATCAATTGTTACATTTGTTGCTTTTGCTCATAGTTGAGAGCAGACAATATGTGAAGCAGGAAGCTTGATTGAAGGTAAATCTTAGAGATTTTGAGACTTAAATAGGAGACCCGTGAAACCTGAACGATAGTTTCACCCTGAGTAATTATCACACATGGAGGAAAGTTCGACCAAACAGTGTGTAAAGTCACGAATATAGGGTACCGTGTTGTTTCACTGGGCGACTCGTCTCAAAAAGGTATAAGGTGCCTCGATGTCAAGTTGCTCCTGGTACTTCTCAAAAGTATTTTGTAGCATTCATCTTGGAAGAAAAATCAAGGGTTCCTTAGAAGGTTTCCTTGAGGTGATGTTGAACGGTCCCACAAGGTTTTGGTTTTGTCTGTGATTTTAACCTTTTATTGCGCTGTCTTGTAATCCAAACCCGGGGAGTCTAATACCTGACATGCAGGTGGTTAGTCAGCTCGGCGTCCATTACCACGACGCATTTCGCCCTGCCTACTTTCTCAGGGCTTCGTCAGATCCTGGTAGGGGTACAACTCACATGGTTTATATTCTTCAAATCATGTGTTACACCGATCTGTTCCTATTAGGTTTACAGAGAGGATAGTGTTTTACCAGTGAGGGTAGACATTTGGTTTTTCGCTAAATTGATGCCATGTTAGACCACCTACGTGATAATGTATAGATGTGAGGTTTCCATAAAACTGGAGATGTTATCTATATTTTGTATTTTGAATACACAATGAAGTAATATGAATTGTTTATTAGCCTTGCTGTGCCAGAATTTGTTTAAGAGTTAAGAACTATAAAGGAATTAATATTTCAACGGATCTCAATGTTGTAGAGTAGGAGATATATTATAAATAGACATTTCCGGATTCTCTGGGCCATTGCTGGGTCGGAGACATTTTTGCGGACATTCCTCTGGGTAATGAACCGTTGAAAGAAGTAAAGTAACCGCTGTGATCCCGTTATATGTAAACCGCAACCTCTTTGAACTGACTGCTCACTATATTGTTGCTAGTATTCTAGACAATTAACCCCGCATATAACTTTGTTTTCTCTTTTTTTCTTTTGAGAAGAATCAGACTGCACGGAGCTGCACTATATATTTAATAATCGTTTACTATAACAGTATCTAAGTGTGTGTACTATATTTAAGTTTGTCACCACGCTTACCCACTTGGAGATTGGGACTTTTTGAATTGTTTTTTGCATTGACCTTATATATGGCAAGTTTATAACACTTGGTCACTCACACATGTATTGTTTATAATATGCCTTAGTAGATGATCACACCAACAGAGTGTTTGTTTGGCCACATCGAGTGCACCCAGCACACAGAAACACTCAATGATATACCGGACGGTGATTGATTTTTTTCACACACTTATTCAACATTGTTGTACTTCATGGTTATAAGCCGAGATACCGATTACCGGTATCTACACTTAATTTTTTCACTGTTGCATCTCTTATTACAAGCCGAGATACTGATTCCCGGTATTTGCACTTAATAATTCATTTTTTAATACTGAGAGTTCACTTCAACACATTCTTAATATTCACTTTTATTTTAGACCGAGCGCAACTTACTTGCTACATATTAATTTAAGTGCATAGATTCCCTTGATCCTTATCCCTGTGGTTCGTCCTCCTTGATATTTAGAGAAATGTTGTGCTAGTGGACTTTCTTTCTCATTATTTCTTATGTCTCTTAAATGTTCACCAATTCTTATCTTCAATTCACGCTTTGTTTTTCCAATATATAATTTTTTGCAGGGGCATTCTATTTGATATATGACCCGCGTTGTATTGCAATTAATGAAATGGCGAATGTCAAAACTGGTAGTCCCCGCTGAGTCAACAAATTGTTTGGATCTATGAACAAAGGGGCATATATGGCATTTGCCACAGGCAAACATCCCTTTCGGTTTTGTTGTCTTGGAAAGCAAAGTTTCTTGGGGGCTAGGAGTGAATTCGGAAGAGACCAGCTGGTCTCGTAAATTGCATGCCCGTCGGGCAGTCACAAGAGGATAAGGGCCTACTATTTCCCTCAAAATGGGACATAGCTGTAGAATATGCCAGTGTTTATTTAATGTCTGTTTAAGGGTAGACCAGCCGGAGCCATATTGGGTGATCATACGGACCCTTTGATCTTTTTTACCCTTTTTAGTACCGCTCAGGAGGTCTTCTCTGGTTCTTTTATTAGCTATGGCCAAACTTTTTCTAAGGGCTCGATGGGAGTAGCCACGTTCCCTAAAGCGCCCATACATGGCTTTTGATTTTAGTTTGAAATCTTCATATGACGTACAGTTCCTCTTTAATCGGAGGAACTGGCCAGTAGGTATGCCCTGTTTCAGGGAAGACAGATGGTGGCTACTCGCATGGAGCACCGTGTTGGCTGCTGTGGGTTTTCGAAATGTGTTAGTCACTAGTTTATCCCCTTCTATTCGTATCATTAAATCCAAAAACGAGATTTCACTGGTGCTTATGGTGTGCGTTAGATGAATGTTCCTATTATTTTCGTTTAAATCAGTTATGAATTCCAGTAGTTGGTTCATCGAGCCTGTCCAGACTAGTAGTATATCGTCGATGAATCTATACCGTGACTTCGCATATAGCTTAAACAGGTGGTGTGGGTAGACATTGTCATTTTCCCACATACCTAGATGAATGCATGCATATGCAGGGGCCCATGGGGCACCCATAGAGGTACCTCTAATTTGTCTGTAGTGAGTACCTGCAAACTGAAAATAATTGTTGTTCAAAGCAAAGTCCAAGAGGTCAAGAATAAACTCATTTTGTGATGCAGAGTTGGGGAAGAGAGATTCCAGATGATGTTTAACTGCTAATAATCCCCAACCATGTGGTATGGACGTATATAGGGATTCTACATCCAGACCCACTAGAAGGGAACCCTCTTCTACTTTTATATTGGCTATTTTTTGTATGAGGCAAATTCGCTGAATCATATTGAATTTACAAATACTGTCTAAGCGCTGTTCCCTCAAATATCTTTGAGAATAATCCGGCTTCATATATTACGCTGATCAGCTCGTCCTTAGAGTGTATGTTTGTGTCTCATGAGTGAATGGGTTGTTGCAATAACCATTTTTTAGATGAATATTGGTGGTGGTTCAACTGGTGCACATAGTATGTCCAATTAGTTTTTTTTAAACAATATATTTACAATTTTGTACTATCCTTTGACTCTCCGACCCTCTTCATTAACTGCACTTTGAGCTGACGCCTTTCTGATCAACTCACTTTTTTGTTTTGTGTCTAGTACAATCAGCTGGGGGTTGTTCCTTTTGAGAGTCATTGAATAATCAATACACCCTATTTAAGGGGCTAATTCATTTTGGGTTTGGTACTCTGGGCAAATCTCCCCCCTTTTTTACTTTGAATACGAGAAACCCTTCATTCAAAAGATACATTTTATTAGACACTGGAAGAATCACCTAGAAGAGAATTCCTATTCATGTTCTGAAAGTGATACATTTCCCAATATAGAAATATCTGCTTTTATCTTTTACATCCTATTCACTTTTGATCGCATGAGTCTCACAAATTCCTTCATGCGACCTCTGATCAGCTACATCCAGATACGATCATCCACAGCTAATTGCAGCACGAGCGATTACATTTGAAGGGCTTCCCTGCTGCAAGCCTTAACTTTTGAATAATTGGGGTCCTTCTTTAACCCCTTCATGGGGTTAAAGTCCCGCCACAAGGTGCCCAAATGACTCATCACGTACACTGTATGGGACCAGTTATTTGCTGCTCTACAATGCTGGTAGCTGCTGAGAATCAGCCGTTACCATTCATTAATGGATGCCTCGGTATAGAGACATCCATTAATTAAAGAGTTATCGATTTTCAGACACCCGATCCCCTTCAGGGATCGGGTGTCTGAGAGCAGAGCCACATTTGCAGCTCTTGCCAGGACTCTGACAGCTGGTATAGATTGAAAGATCTCAATGTATACCAGCTTTTTTAAAACACTATTTAAGAATAGAAACATAATGTATCTGTTCCTGAAAACAATGTTGCAGTTTTCTGATCATTGTTGTAACGATCAGAAAACCTTTAGTGACAGCTGATCCTGAAATGCTGCAGGATCGGTGTCACTAAGGTTATTATTGGCTGTTCTGAAGTTTGAACCAAAAATTAATTGATTAATTTACCAAGCAGTAATAGTGAGATTCATTTACAATGAATGCCTGATATAATTAATTAAATAAAAAATATAGTAATTTCCGCAGTGGTAGTGTATTCTATCCAGTAGTACCAGGAGGCCGAGAATCTGGAGGAGGTTCCCTTGACGGAGCTGATAAGGTCCTCCATGAGTCTGATATCGTTTATTTTGGAAAACCAAAGCTGAACCGAGGGCGGAGTCACCTGTTTCCATGCACGGGCTGCATTCAGCAAGTGCACTAGAACCGACCGGGAGCTGTCCGATTAAAAGGACTTTATAGTTTGAAATCTTTTACTGGGTGCTGGTGATTCCTATTCATTTGCTTTTTGAAAACATTTTTCTTTCTTTGTTGGATTGAATAATGTGCCTTGAA